AAAATGCACTGGCCCAAAACAGCCGCTTCTGAAGGCTTCCCTGAGAGAGCCCTGCAAGTGCTCCTTTCAGATTTCAAGCCGACACGATACATTCCACATCCGACAGCTCAGAAACACAACCCCGCAAACCAATGCAAAGTCCGAACTCTCACAAGCCTGAAGCAATGAATCCCTAAGGGTTCCCAAGCCTGAAACAGTAAAGCCCAAACTCGCCAACCCAGAGCCGGAAAGCCTGAACCCGACGCCCGTCGTCTCGAAGGCCCTTCAAAAGGTCCCTCTGAGACTGCGGCCATCAAACTCGGACACGTTGACGGTTCGCCCGTCAAGGAAGTAACTGGGCAAGGAGCATGCACTGGCTTTTGCACCTTCTTCCGCATGCACGGAATATGTTCTATGTCGGGGGGTGTCGAAGCAGCTAGATGGTTGAGTCCTTCGTAGTTTACTCTCCCTTTCTCTCTAACTTGTGTTTTTCAGTCTTCCTTGCCTCTGGCTCTGTATCTTTCTCTTCTCTTTCCTCATTCCTTTTCCTCTTCGGTCTCTCCCTCTCCGGGATCAGTTAACCGCAAATGGGTGTGGGCTCCAGTTTGCCATTACTCGGCACCAACCAACACCAGTTGCGGGCTTCCACAAGGGGGACAAACCTAGTAGGGTCTCATCAATGCAACAAGCCCAAGAAGGCCATTTTGGGAGGCTTGGGCTTGAGGCCTTGAAGAGCTTGAGGCCAACTTTAAGGCATCGTCAGACGCCAACCCATTGCAATCACCTTTAAAAGCTTGGACAGCAACTTTGCGTCCCTCGAGCTCTGCTGGAAATCGTGGCCGGTCATGGCCATGTCCATGTAAGCACCTGCCATCGGCGACGCTATCGGTGCTTAATTAATGAGGGTCGGGGCATGTCAGCTTGCGGCCAGAGCCCTCAACCTGAACCGTATAACGCGTTTCGTGATTGCGGGTTGTTCGGGTTTCGGGCTACTCTGTCAATCGTGTATACAGCATTGCCGCGCTCTCAGAAGCCGCAGCCCTGGCACTCATGTAATCGTAGTTGCTGAGTTTTCTGGTCCAAATACAATGGGATTACATAGCAGAAACCTGAGGACCCCAAAACCCCATGTTGCAAGATGGTACGAATACAACCCCAAAAGAACCCCATATGGAACCTTGGCGAAACCCGGCTTGGTCCCCGCTCTCCGAATTACGGAAGATGTCTTGTTAAGCTTGGACAAAATTCGGTCCGGGGGCAGTTGAGGGTTATAAGGCTTGTCTTCACAGAAAACGGTTAGCCTTCCCGAGCGAGGCAGTGGCCACTTTCAACTTTCTGAACAGCACAACAGGCCACAATTCGTTTGGCTTTCGGTTTCGAGGCTGCCGGGTTTCCGGCTTCGATTCGGGTGCTTGCGAGGTCCTTTAGCAAAATCTCAAGGTAGAAACATCTGGAAGTCTGTGAATGCAAGGCTCAGGGCCCGACTCTTTCGAAGGGGTCGGAGATATTCCCTCAGACATCGGGGTGCTTCGGCGACGGGTCCGCTGTCGTGTCAGCTTGGCTTTGGGGTGCAAATCGGGCTCTTCAAAGTCCCTTCACCCTGAACACCTCGAAACCCTCCAACCCCAAAAGAGTCCAGACCTGAAGCGTGGGCAAAGAACAACCGCAACACAACATGAACGCTCCCAAAGACATACCGATAATATTCAGAAAAATATTCTCGCCATGCACCAAACGACCCAGCGCCCTCCACGAGTCCCTGGCTTGTAGAATCCGATGATCTTTTCGCACCCCTCGGCCAAGGATTCGGGGTGTAGATTTAGGGTCTTTCGGCGCTCAGAGTCGGACAATCCGGGCGAAGCATATGGCACATGGTCATGAGTCGGCTGTGCGAAACAGCAGGGAAATCTTGGATGAGAAAGAGCTGCTGCAAGCGCCAACCCCGCCCGCAGGACATAATTCTCTTTCAGGCTTGGAATCCCTGCTCTTGCTTAGGCTGAGATTTCCAAGCGAAAGTCCTTAATTAACCACGGGAAGGGGCTGTAGGGGTTAAGGGTTGGGAGGGCCTTAGGCGCGCAGGGTTGAATAGCACGCCCATCCTGGCCACAGAGTAACTATGATTCTGCGTTGGGGCAGCCCCGGAACCTGAAATCGAAACCAACCACTCCAAGGCCCTGGGCTTTTTGACAGAAGCTGACCTGTCGAACAAGGGGCATAAAGTTTAGGAGTTCAGGCTTTCGAATTACTCTCAGGTTTAGGATTTCAAGCTGTCGGGTGGTGGGATTGGGGGTTTCGGCTTCAGGGCAGAAGGAGAGGCCCCTTGTGGTTGCTGCGTCTGGTAATAGCCAGCACCAGTCAAGCACAAGAAAAGACAGGTATATAGGGAGAAGCTATTGTTGTACTTGTTGAAACCACACATACAGCAGCATACAGGAACCGCTTCTTCGCAGGCTCCCTATAATTCGTTACTGGGGTTCATGTTTTGACCACGCAAAGAATAGGTTATTGTAGGTTCTAGAAACCTTACTTTCAGGACTCGCGTTCACGCGCTGCCGTGGGAACAGACCTCCGAAAGGCGGTCTCACAGGCCGCTGATTCGTAATAGTTTTTAAAGGGCCTTACGAGATTGATGAGACTTTCTGACCGTGTTACCAAAACAGGCCCTCCAATCCGTCGAAATGTCGGTGAGCACTGGCCATCGACAGCAGCTTCGAACACACGTATAATTCGCTGCTAGACAGCACTTAAAAGAGCTTCAAGTGTTGGGTTTCGAAACGTAGGGCTTCGGGTTGAGGGTTTGGGCCCTACGGACCGACGCAAACCTACCACTACTGGTTTCGACAGGTTCACCCCAAACCCTAAACTCCTTGTTGCATCCAGGCCTCTTGAAGTCTACCCCAAACCCCCAAAACCCTCGAACCCTAAACCCTCGATCCCTAAACCCCCAAACCCCTCAACCCCGAAACGCCTATAGCCCTTCTGCCAGCTCGGACTTTGAGCTGCACCTTGCTCACCGCCCAGACGCAGCAATTCACGTCGTCCTCCTCCGCTTTGCGGATAGGTCCTCGGCTTGGAAAAAGCTTCTAATTACAGGGCGTCTACAAACCAAACCCAGTCCGGAAAGGCGGATAGGTATGTAGAAGTGTAGAACCGTTATCATGCGAGCCCAGATATGATGGAACGCTTCAGGCCAAGTTGCTTGGGGTTTTGGGATTTGGGCGGGGCGTAGACTTCGAACGACGCAAGCCCCAACCCCTCCAAAAGAAAAGACCTGCAAAAGACCCGTGAACCCATGCAAAGCCCTACCAGAAATATCATCGTTTCAACAGGAACGGAACTCCATGGCGTTGGGAACATGCCGTCAACTCTGTGCAAGATGGGACGCAAGATACCGGAGCACTTCGAGGCTTTGAGGGGTAGGAGGTCTCCTTCATGCTGGTGTGCCATGAGCTCTGTAAGGACGCAGACTTGCATACCGGAGCACAGGAGGCTGCAGTTCATACTTCGACTTCGGGGATCTCTGGAGTGTGCTTTCGGGAGTTTTGGCATCTGCCATAGCCACCCAAATTGCGGCCCGAGCAGCGTGTCAGGACATCCAAGACCTGAGCCAACAGACTGCAAGCACGAAACCCTACACCCGGTATCGCAAGCCTTTCTCAAGCCTAGACCCGTAGTCCTGACCACCATGCAGCCTTAACCACCTTAAGGCCCTACAGTAAGGCCGTAAATGCTTGAAACTTACCTCTGAAATCTGTACCTTACACCCATCTGAACTACAGGAGCCTCGGATCGTACCCTAATTATAAAAGTTTCGATTCACGAGATCAGCAAGGGCTCCTCTCGGAAGCAAAGCAACAACCAACAACGAAACCCGTGACGAAAGGACCTAAGGATTTGGGTTTTGTTGGAAGCAGGGTTTGCGCAGTTTTCAAGGTGTACCTAAAGAACACAGCAAGGATGTTGCAAAGTGTTTTAAATATTACCTTGCGCTCTCCTAGGACAAACCGTTTTGTGCCTGCTTGTTGGCTGCTTGGGATCGCTTCAGTCAAGAACTCGATAAAAACTAGATCCAAAATGATGGAGGGAACTGCCTGCTCATCGGTGGTCCTATCGGCCCAAGAACTCGGGCCCCTGCGAGGCGAAGCGGGCGGAAGATGAAGATCAGCAGCGAGCCATACCTGCCAACATTGAGTCACTGCAGCGCAGGGACGAAGGTCTACGATTTGGGGTTCCGGGGTCAAAGTTCACGGTGTCGTTGGGTTGAGGGTTCTTCGGTCAGGGCTTGGTGCTTAGTAAGTGTAGACAACCAGGAAATTCCGATAAGCATGTACGGCAAGCATGTCTCGAGTCAAGGTTCGAACGCACCTACTCATGAGAGAACTATGACTGACACTATTGAAGGATACTTCCTGAATATCGGCACTCAAAGCCTGTCCACTTCCCATGCGACCATCGGAAGACTATGCAAAAAACCCTGCAGGCGAATCCCCCCTGCCGCTCCAATGCAAAACTGCCCAAAGTCCTGAAGAACATCTGAAGTCTCAGATCCCGAGACTCGTCGCGAATACTGATGCAAGCTGTAGCTGACCTGCAGATGGGTGAGCCCCGGAACCGGAAGCCAAATACCGTGTTGTTGCCGGGCCCCTCACGCGAGCGAGCCAATGTGGTACCGGGCCTTGGGCCAACAGACAGATACAAATACTGTACGTCTAGACTATATAAGACAGAAATCAACCTTCCAACGCGGGAATACTCGCTTCCAGCACAACAAGACAGGAGACGCCCACCGACAAGGCGCAGGGACGAAACAAGTCATCGTACTTCCAAAAAGAAGTGTCAGTTTGGGCAACATAGAATATTGTCGAATCAAGCACTACATGGAGTTGATCAAGCAAATTTTCAAGCATGGTCACCTTTTCGGAAGCTGTCGGCAAGTGGCACGCAGAAGCTTTGGGCAGTTCTGCGGTGCAGCATCTCGTCCTGACTTTGGAAGCTGGTGACTAACAGCTTCCAGGGCAACATCACGACAAACTGCGGAGTAACCCCCTGCAGCGCTCGTCGAACATCCAAGCATCGAGGCTTTGCAATGCCCATCCGGACTGGAGCAAGTCGTGGACATACTTGCGCATTTCCGTGCTGGTCAAGGTACCTTGGGCATGCAGCTTGACAAGTCCCAGTAGCTCGCGCCACTTGGTCAGCATCGTGCAGGGAACGGGCTCCTCTCCGTCGAAACGGCAGCCTTTCACGGCATCAGCGTCTCTGCATTCGGATGCAGACAGCTGCCCCTTTAGAGAATACAGTCGCGCATCTGCCGACATGTCATGTCCATGCCGCTCATCTGCATGCTCGTAGCTATCTCGGAGATCCCTTGCTGCATCAGCAGCTTTCCCATGCATGACTACAGCCAGGAATGGCGCCCCATGGCGGGCTTCTTGGGGGTAGGCTCTCCGCAGTTCTATCATCAGAGCTTTCAATTGTTCGTCCTCGTCGTACTGCACATCCCACATCCAAACCAAGGTTAAATAGTCCCCGAGCACATCCAAAGCCAAAGGTCTGGAGCCTTCCCGGATACCGTCTTCTGGGTCAAGCGTTGTGCCCAGGTTTAAACGCCTCCAGATCTTACGTGCCATCGAATGAGCATCGTGACGGATGAAGAGTGTAACATCAGTTGAGTCTTGCTGCTGTCGATCTTCAATCGCCTTCATGAGAAGAAGCTGCATGGCAACGACGGGGTCCGGATCGCCTCGGTCTGAAACAGCATGCTGCAAAGCTCTTGCGTCAGGGAATGCATGCCGCGCGCATTGCAGCAGTCTAAGCCAGTCTGAGCAACGAGGCTACTAAGTGAATTCCCAGATGCTGCAGGAAGCCATGTTCTGTGCCTTTTGTATGGTGCCTTTCCCCACACCTTCGTAGGTTCTGAAAAACCTGAGCTCAGAGTCCGTGTCCTTGAACCTGAAGTGGGGGATAGAAGACTTGGCAACACGAATGCAGCGCCGGAAGACTTCCTCGTCATCATGGAAGAACGAGTGGAACAAGATGAGCTGCAATTGCCTGAGCTTTCCGTGGGACTTGGCGTAATCCTCCTCTTGAACTTGACCAAGCGGCGTTTCTTCCTGGATTGCAGATAGCACGCGCAAAGCTGAGTCTCGGAATGCACTGGCCACGGCGCCTGATCGCACAACCCTGTTGCGGTGCCTTCTATTCCCCAGTGTGTTCCCAGAAAGTTCTAGATCCATCTTGCACCAATCCTCATTGAAATCACCGATGTGGTGCAATACGGAGCGTATGTACTCTCTGTCACCGGCGCCCCGTCTCCTGGCTTTGTTTTGAACTAAAGGTTAGAGAGTGGACTCGCACAAAAACAAATACCTGTGGCGGTTCTTGCACGACAGGGTTCATCTTTACGACAGTTTTTCGTGCAGCCAAAAGACTTCACTTCGATGACGATACGGACAAGGTCACGTGCCGCCTCCAGGCTTGTCCTGAAACTCCTCGCGCTGTGAGTTTCCCGTGCTTCCACGTCTCTCAACAAAGCTTGTAGGGTTGAATTCGGGGGAAGGTCTGGCCAGGCTTTCAGCTGCAGCAGAACATCTTCAAACAGGTCCCAGCCTGTCGCATCTGTACTGTAGCTGCCTTTCTGGCCCTGTCTCACAACCAGGTCAGTAACGTCGCACCCTGCGATGTCAGGGAACAGTCGCTTTAGCACCCTGGTCGCCCGTCTTGCGCATGGCGTGTCGCTGAAGAACTGGCCATATTCCTTATCGAGCGTCAACCGCGACTTCCTCCCGAGCCTGACATTGTCGTAGGTATAATGTCCATCCCGTGGCACCATCTCCCAGCGCCGCTCGTGCTTGCGATCTCTCAGCCTGATAGCTTTGCTTCCATACAGCCCTTCCGGATCTTCATGTAGTAGCTCGCTCTGATTGAGTTCTGCGCCAAAGCGGCTCCATTCCTCCGGCCTGATGGCACGCCCCACATCACACATCCAAGCAATAGTCGAAATCACTTTGCATCCCCGGATCGCAAGCTGCAGATTTGATTCCAGTGCCAAGCCTGGAGGAACCAGTGAGCTTGAAGCTGCAATTGAGGCCAGGCCAAATTTTAGCAGCAGCTGACTGACACTCACCCAGAATCCTTTGCAAATAGCTCGTCGGAAGATCATCCGCCTTGATCTTGTCTGCAAGAACTTGGAAGTCTGCCTTCACACCATATGCCAGCACAAGCTCTGTTAGAAAGTCCAAGTCCGTGTTGATGCGCCGATAAAGGTTCATCTGGCTGATGGGGACCAGCGCTGCAAATGCTCCGGACGAGGTACTGTTGGAAGTGGAAGCTGTCAGGACGCTTGTCACGAAGCCTGCAACCAGCAACATGCCGGTCTCACCGTTTCTTCGTCTTGCCTTTGTCCTTGTTTTCGGAAGGCTTCGATTGTGAGTCGCGGTCCTGGCTTGTTGGTTGTGGGGGCACTCGATCAGCCGTCGGCTGCGGATCCGGCCGGACAGCGATGCCAGGCTGGAGGGTAGCGTCCGGGAGTTTGAAGAAGGCATGGGGATCTGCTGGAGCTTGGTACGCAATCTTGACAGACGCATGCATCAAAACTATGCACACGATCACCCGCAGCAGAGTTCTGGATGCCAAGGCTTTGTCCATAGCATCTGCAGGTAGCCAAGCTACGAGCCACAACTATCTCAAGCCCAGTCTCGCCTGCGACCCCGTCTAAAGTCTGCGATGGTAGATGCAAGCGGCGTAGCATGATCGCCCCACCGCGGAAGAAACTTAGTCACTGTTGGCTGCCTGTTGCCCGAAGACGTTCTATAACCATCCTGTCACCTGCAACATGCACGCCGGCTACTATGAATGTGCGTTGCCCAAAGCACGGGTAAAGCACGGGTGCCAAGGCTCTGTTAACCCGAGACCTTATAATTCTTAATCCCTAAGTCAAGGATCAGACCTCCCCTCAAACCAAGGCGGGGGCAATGTTAAAGTAGGCATCGCAAAGAAGACCGGACCTGAGAGTTGATATTATGTGGAGGCTTCGCGGCGGTTCCTGGTGTGTTTCGGGCCAGGTTAGAGCCTTCAGGTTTGGGGGCTCGCGTTCAAGGTTTTTGTCGGAGCGATTCGGCCATCATTTAAGGGTAGAACACGACATGCCCGCGGGCGAGATGCGACGTGTCTTGCATTGCTAAGCTCGTGAGCGCGATGTGTTTCTGGACATGTTGATTGAAGCTTGTGCATGCGGGATGGGGTTGGAGGGTGTACGGTTTCCGACAAGAGCACAGGAAGCCAGGAGGCCCGGATACATGCTTTCAACGTGTGGGGGCGTTCACACCCTCCACCACATCCTGCATAACACATCCTTAGCCGAAGATTCAGGACCCTCATGCCTCAAGGTCTCGCGGGGACGACTCTCTCATGATTGACGGATCAAGGCTTTGTTCCATGCCTGCTATCGAAGTTCGCTACACAACATACATGCCAAAAACCCTGGCATGTTTTGAACTTGAGAATCGCAATTTCAGCTGCCACCGCTATGCGTGTGCATACAGATGTAAGCAGACAGACACACATGCACAAACTGGAAACGGAAGACGAATCAGGGCCGTGTGGGACCTCGCGCGCTCTACATCCACAAGCCCCGACCCGAACCGGGACACCCCACGATCTCAAAAGCTCTGAGAAGGGCTGGAAACTCCTTATTCAGCAAACCACTCTCACACTCGCCGGGGTCGGGGCCCTTCGAACTCCTTGTCCTGAGAAGGCAGGCCGTCAGAACTCCAGAATTACGGACTCTAGCTTCAGTTCGATCCAATTCGGGATCGGGTTCCAAGTCGAAGGTGCAAGGGGTTGTGAACGCTCTCTTTGGAGCGGTGGAACATCACTAGCTTGATGCCGCTTCGGATTTCTCAGTGTGTGACGTAAGCCAGGATGCATCTTGTCCTGGCCTACTCGAGGAACTAGGGCCTTTGTTTCCCTTATCGCTTTGCTGTGGAGTCTATGCCCGCTTGCGGGGTCTGGTTGAGGAGCAAACATCTGTTGCTAGGGCTTTAAGTTAAGTGTTTAGGAAGTTTCTCGGGTTTATGCACTTTCCACGCGTCCTCCGCTATACGGGGTGTCTTCGGTGATTCAAGACCTTCTGGGTGCTTAGAATGGTGCAAGTTGAAGTCGGGAAGCCCAGAGGGCTCAGTTCGAGTAGCTAGACCCTCGCTTGCATTTTCTGCTGTACGTCGCGAGTGAGATTTGCTGCATCCGACGCCGAGCGGCATCGAGTAAGGTGTTCAGGATAACAGCCGTCAGCTGCACAAACAATCAACTGCCAAGTCCTACACGTAGTAACATAACCCTGGCTTGAAATACCCACAGTCTCAGGGCAGTCCCCGCAATCCCCAAAAGACAGGAACCCAGAAATGCTGCCGGACGCGTGGAAATCTTCTGGAAATCTGGTTTCCCAACGATGTCAGCAGTAGTCCAAGCTCCATGCATCCACTGGCGAGTAGTACCACATCTCCGTCATGTATGCATACACGAAGCAAGACCTGAGAGTTGAACAACTGGTGGAATCGGAACCGCGCAGAATCTTGGAAACGGCTTTGGCGCCATGCTGCAGCTTCAGCAAACAAGGAATGGTGTAGCACATGTAACAGCCTCTTCGAGGATTCAGGGCTCAAAGGACTCGCGAAGATGGCTCTTCTATCAACCTTCAAACACTACCGTAAAGTCTGAGGAAATCAACCGGGCAAGCTCCAGAAGCTTCAGCTCACGGATGGGTGCTCACGTGAGCACAGCTGCAGTACGAGCTGATGGGTTCTACAGTAGTCAGTAGGCTCCTATAGGCTCTTTCAAGCAATCGTGACTTTTTCCGAAAGCTACTTTCTGCCTGCTTGCTCCAATCAGCCCTTGTCTGAAGGGCGAACTTGCCACGAGCTCTGGTCGTGCAAAGGCATGTGTTCTGTGAAGACGAGTTTCAACTCGTGCGCTGATGGCTCCTCAGCATTCTTGGACCATACACGTTACCAAACCATCGCAACACACAACTGTTGCTGTTGCTGGTGCTCTCGTTTTTGCTCTTGCTCTTGTTCTTGGCATTATTAGAGTGTTCTTCTTATTGCTGCTGTTGTTGATGATGTTGTTACGTTGCTGTTGGTGTTGCTGCGGTTGCTCTCGTTGCTGATGCTGCTGTTGTTGTGGTTGTTGTTGCTGTTGTCGTGGTTGTTGTTTTTGTTGTTGGCTTTACTTTCGTTGTTGTTGTTGTGGTTGTTGCTGTTGTTGTTGTTGTTGCTGTTGCTGCTGTTGCTGTTGCTGTTGCTGTTGCTGTTGCTGTTGCTGTTGTTGTTGTTGTCGTTGTGGCTGTTGCTGTTGCTGTTGCTGTTGTTGTTGTTGTTGTTGTTGTTGTTGTTGTTGTTGTTGTTGTTGTTGTTGTTGTTGTTGTTTTCGGTGTCGGTGGTGATGATGGTGGTGGTGTTGCTGTTGCTGTTGTGGCTGCCGTTGACGTTGTGGTTGTGGTTGTTGACGTGCTTGTTGTCGCTGTCACTGTCGCTTGGGGCAGTTGACTTTGCAACCTCATCTCCAAATCCCACAACGGCGAAAAAGTACGGTTGCTGCATAGGACTAAAGCACCATAGCTTGCAGCAAAGCAAGCGGCGTCAAGTAATGGTCACCCCAACGGCAACAGTGACAGCAACACCAAAAGTGCCATCAGTCTAATCAAACCAAAAGGGCTAGTAATTGATGTCTAAATACAGTCTGCGAAACAGCTCTGACAAGTTGGGCAGTAGTATTTGCATTCCGGTGGCCTTGTGTCGACAGCTGCACGGCCAAAGATGTCGGATTTCAATCCGAGTAACAGATCTACAGTTCACCGGCGGCTGTCTCGGTAAAGCTCAAGTCCAGTAAGCATTGAAACGGCGGCATATGATATTATGTTATATATATATTTTTGTATATTTGTTTATGTGTAGTATATACTGTTGGAACCCATTTCCTGGCACCCGGCAGGGGCTGCTTGCAGGAAGCCGAATTCCAACCCTAATGTGATCCAGCATAACTCAGAAGTAGATGAGTACAGCCACAGGAGGCCACGGCACCTTCGGGAAACACCCGCCGGTCATGAAGCCGAGTTGGTGCCATTCGGCCGGCTCGGTGTACAAAAATCAGAGCATAGAGGACTCGAGGAAGTAAGCCGCAAAAATCTTTCACGCATAGACCATTTCTCTTCCCCTTCACCCTGAGGCCCTGAATCCGTTGGTTCCTCCTAGGGCATGTGGGCGTGGCTTTCCCTCTGTTCCCAAGTCTTGACACTCAGGAGTCTGGACCCCGAACCTAAACTCCTTAAATTCCTTTACGAAACCCTTGCAGAGCCCGATAGGACCTTATTGATGGAACCTTTCTAGAAGCCCAAACCCGGACACCTCGAGTCCCACTGCCAAGGCAGGGTCGCCCCTGCTTTGGGATAACAGGGGATAAAGGGGAGGGGGGTTTTAGTATGGTATGATATGATATAGTGCCGCGTTCGAGCTTGGGCCAGGGGTGAGGGTTGCAGTCGTGGGGCTTGAAGACGATGTGAAGGTTTTGCATGGCAGGATTAGGTCAAACAACCTTGGGTTCAGGTGTGTTCGGGTTTCTAGGGCTTGGGTGAGAACTTGGGCATCGAGGGCTTAGGGCTGAGTCGTGGTCTAGAGGCTACCAGTGGATAATTACGTAATCGGGCCCCCGTAATGTAACAAGACCCCTCATTGCCCTAAGTTTTAATTCAGGCAACCCCTTATGTCACAACATGCTGACAAGCCGTCATATTTTGGAGAAACACGGATACTACCTGGGTATTCATGCACAAGGTAAGACCAAAAAACAAAAGGAGGGGTGGGCCATGTGGCATCCCTCCGGCTGCGATCCCGAGGGAGCCCCGTTGAAAGGCATATCTAGAGTTTTGAGAGACCCGGGCATTTTTGTCACTCAAAGTTTCGATCACTGGAAGAGTAGCGGCTAAGTTGCGTTCTTTGTGCGACTGTTGTCGTTGCTTTCTTCTGTGCTATAAGTTCCATGTTCGTGCTACTAACCTTCCCATTGCTATCCCATTAAATTTGTGCTCTGGCTCTCGCAGCGTCGGCTGGGACTACTTACAGGCGGACTTAGACAACAGTTGTTTCGGTTGCGCTGATTCGTGCCCGT